GTAAACACCGAGACACATTGTAATTAAAATGGCAAAGGTTAAAGATAAAGAGAGAATCTTAAAAGCAGCAAAAGAAAAGAAGTTAGTTACCTACAGGGGAGTTCTCATAAGACTGTCAGCTGTTTCCTCAAGAGAAACTTTGCAGGCTAGAAGAGATTGGCAAGAAATATTCAGTCATGAAAAGCAAGGACCTACAGCCAAGATTTCTCTATCCAGAAAACCTATCATTTATAATCAAAGGACAGAAAAATAACTTCCCAGAACAGAAAAAACTAAAGGAGTTCATCATCACCAAACCATTATTATATGAAATGTTAAAGGGACTTAAGAAAAAGAAGATCAAAACTCTAATCACTAAAGTGAGAAAAAATACGTATCTATCAACAATTGAATCTAAACAAACAAACAAACAAACAAAAAAACAGAGACAGAATCATGGATATGGAGAAAGTTTTAATGGTTGCCAGATAAGAGGGGAGTATGGGAGAATCAGTGAAGTGATGAGGGGATTAAGAAGGGCAAATAGGTAGTTACAGAATAGCAAAGGAGATGTAAAGTGCATATAGGAAACGGAGTAGCCAAAGAACTTATATACATGACTCATGGACATGCGCAATGGTGGGGGGATTACCTGAAAGAGTGAAGTGGCTGGGTGGAGAGAGGCAAAGGGGAAAAATCAGGACAATAAAATATAATTTTTAAAAATGACTAAGCAATAAGAGCAACAAATCTGTATCAAATTTTGTGTTAAGCCTAAACAATCCACTGTGGCAACTATTCAGATGATTCAGAAGTCCATAACTATGGGCAACTGGTGATTGGTAACTTCATCACCACATGCACCTGCTCATACAGCATGTCTCATGCAGAGCTTTTGGTGAAGCATCAAATCACCCAGGTGACTCAGTCCCCCAACAGCCCAGATTTGGTGCCCTGCAACTTCTGGCTTTCCTGCAAACCAAAACCACCTTTGAAAGGGAAGAGATTTCAGATCTTTGATGAAATTCAGGGAGATACAGTGAGGCAACTGATGACAATTGGGAGAACTGTGTGAGATTCCAAGGTACCTACTTTGATTGGGACTGAGGTGTCATTGTCCTATGAACAATGTTTGTTATATCTTGTATCTTCTTCAATAAATGTCTCTGTTTTTTATATTACATGGCTGGATAACTGCTGGATAGACCTCATATATGGGTCTTGTTTTCTTATCCATTCAGCTTACCTATATCTTTTAATTAGAGCCTTTTAAGCCATTTACAGTTAAGTGATTATTGATAGGTATATATTTACTGCCATTTTATTTTTCAACTACAATGTTTCTCTTTCTCCTCCTTCCCCTCCTCCTCCTCCTCTCCCTCCTCTTTCTTCTAACAGACCCTTTAATATTATAATACCAGTTTAGTGGTGACAAACTCCTATAGCTTTTTCTTTTCTGGGAAGCTCTTTATTTCTCCTTCAATTTTAAATGATAGGCTTGCTGCATAAAGAAGTTTTGGTTGTAGGCCCTTGCTTTTCATCACTTTAATTATATAGTTTATGTCAATCCCTTCCTGCCTGAAATGTTCCGGTTGAGAAATCAGGTGACATTCTTGTATGAGCTCCCTTGTAGGTAACTGACTCTCTTTCTGCTTTTAAGATTCTCTTTTTCTTTAATGTTTGCCATTTTAATTACGATGTGTCTTGGTGTGGGCCTCTTTGGGGTCCTCTGGTTTGGGACTCTATCTCCTTCCTGGACTTGGGTGTCATTTTTCTTCACCAGGTTAGGGAAATTTTTGGTCATTATTTCTTCAAATAGGTTCTCAACCCCTTGTTCTCCCTCTCTTCTTGTACCTCTGTGATGTGGATGTTATTATGCTTCATGTTGTTCCAAAAGTCCTTTAATCTATCCTCACTTAAATTTTTTTTTCTTTTTTGCTGCTCTTTTTTTTTATTGGATGTTTTCTGCTACCTTGTCTTCCAAACCACTGATTTGATATTCTACTTCATCTAAACATCTGTTTATTCCTTCTAGTTTATTCTTCATTCCTGGTATTGTTTTCTTTATTTCTGACTGATGCTTTTTATGGTTACTACTTTTTTTATATTGTTTTGTTCTTACTAAATACCTTGAGCATCCTTATAACTCTATATCTGATAAATTGCATGCCTTCATTTCTTTTAGCTTTTTCTGGAGATTTCTCCCTTTCTTTCACTTGGGCCACATTTCTTTGTCTTTACATTTTTGTTTCTTCTTTGTGTTAGTTTCTATGCATTGGGTGTATCTGCTATGACTCCCAGTACTAGTATGGTGGTCTTCTGTAGTTGATATCCTGTGGGACCCAGTGGTGCACTGTTTTTGATCATCTGGGCTGGGCACCCCAGGAATGTCCCTTATGTCAGTTTTGTGGGCTTTCTTGTTACACTTGACACTTGATTGCTATTGGCTCATTCATGAAGAGGATCAATCATCAAGCTGGCTATGAGGCTGAACTCCAACCGCAGTATATGAGCTACTGTGAAGGTGCTAACCGAATGAAGCAGAATTGGTCTCAAGGTGGTCTGGTGCCTGCTGAGGTCTCCCTTTGGGTATACTGCTTGTGAACCTGCTGTGACATTGCCCAAAGCTGGTCACTGTGGTTTTTTCTGGGGCCTCTTGGGAGAAACTCTGGTGCAAGCCAATGTCAGATGCTGTGTGTAACTGCTTCTGAGAAAACTGTTCGGAGCTACAAAGTGATCTAAAGTTTATGGCTGCCTCTGCTGGGCCTCGGTGTGTGCAATGAGGATCAAGCTGTGCACCAAGGCTTGTTTTTAAGAGAATTGGACCCAGGGGCAGGTCAGCAAATTTCCCAAGGGACCCCAAGATCCACCTCCACCTGCCTTTCCCTGCTAGATTCCTGTTATGTTCAGTGACAGGGAGAGCCTTTTGCGGTACTTGAGTTGTATGAGGTAGGTTCTCAGTGAGTCACCTGGTAGGCATGAGTGGTATTCACCAGACTGATATAGGTTCAAACTTGGTGCCCATGTTGGGTCTGATGCCATTCAACAAATGTCCCAGGATATACCAAGTCTAGTTACCACCTGTTGGGTGTTTACCCATCTTTGTGGTTGGGTAGGGTCTTAGGGGGTAATCAGGGTGAGACCAACAGAGTTTATCAGGCCCAAACAGACCAAGATTTAGCTATATGAAGGGAAGGCTCTGCACCAGTCAGGCATACCAGGAAAAAAAAGGTCCTTGTGCTAGCGCCACATTATTCAGTCCATACCAGATTCTGCCAGGAGACCAATCTCAATGTGGTGGAGCCATATGGGGGGATTGGGCTAGCGAATCTCCTGTCAGAGGGTGGTGCCAGTTAGACTTGAGGTAAGGTAGGAGGAGTAAACCTGCTCCATAGCTACACAACTGAGTCTGCCCCAAATTCTGCCCAGATCTCAGCAAGGAAGAGCCACCAGAAGTCCAGAGGGTGGGGCTGCTGGGAGCCTAGAGTTTGGGGTTAGTGGGATCTCCCATGAGGGGAAGGCACCAGTTAGGTCTGTGGGAAAGTAGGAAGGGGACCTCACACAACTCAGTCATTGATATTCCCTTGATATTCCCAGATTACTATTCCCTAGCCTAGGAAGCTGACTCCTCAGTAGGGTGCAAGCTCCACAGGGTGGAGCAAGAAACAGTCCAGAGGATGAGGCTATTGCTTTCCCCCAGGTTGATGTCATATGAAGGGAAGTGCTCCCTGCAAGAAAGGTGGTGTCTGGGGTGTGGGACAGGGACTTAGCATAAGGATCCTGATAGCTGTCCCTTCAGCTCTCTACCCAGAGCCACAAACTCCACTCTTTTCTCATGTGACTCTGGTTCATTCCACCATCCCTCTGCCAGAGCTCAGGGAAAGTGGCTATGAACAAGATTTTGTGCATTGACCCTTTAAGAGGGTGCCTGTGTCTCTAGCCAACTCCTGTCTCTCCCTTGTGGATAGAATTCCTGCTGATTTCAAAAGCCAAATGTTATATGGGCACCTCTTCCTGGCTGTGGTGCTCTGGGTGTCCCTTCTGTGGGTTTTGTGGGCCCTCCTGGAGAGCTTGGGATAAGGTTGAGAACCCATGCTCCTCAGGGGAATCCTTTGCAGCTTACACATCCCTCCAGAATTTCAGTTGCTGCCTTTGGTGTAGGGCCAGGCATTTTTGCTTCTCTGCCCTTCCTACCAGTCTTAATGTGACTTCTTCTGTAAATCCTTGGTTGTAAACTTCTGTTCAGTAGGTTTTCAGTTGGTTATTCATGCTGACTAATATATATTTTACTTGTAATTCCATTTTGATTCTGGGAGGAGATGAGTGTAACATCCACCTACTTCACAGCAATCTTGGACACTCAGTGTTGTATCTTCTCATAACTTTATGCCAATCTCAGTGATCTCAAAATAGAAAGTTAAAAACTAAAAATTTTAAACTGAAATTGTGAATAAATTAAGTAATTAAAGATTAAGTATCAGGGAAAAAGTAATATTGTATTATTCCTTTACTTATGTCTTTTGGTGCTTCTTGGACTATTTTTTCTCAGGTTAGATTTGTAGAAATGTAATTATTGAATCAAAGAGTATAATTTTTAAGCCTTCTTATACATATTATTAAATTATTTTCAGAAAAGTTGCACAATATATGCAGCCGCCAGAGTTTGTTTTACGTGCCCACAACAGTATTGCTTCTTTCAATGTTAAAAACTAGAATAAAGCTCCCTTACTCTTTCCTCATTGCCAATTCTATACAAAATAGACATTGCTTCATTATTTTAATTCTCATCCCATCTATCACTAGTGAGGCTGAACATTTTTCATATATTTATGACTTATTGGCCATTTGCCTTCATACTTTCATATTTTTATTAGGATTTTAAATTTTTTTCTTTCTAATTTGTAGTTTCTTAAATTATAAAATATTAACCCATTTGTCATATTTTTTGAAAATACATTTTTTAGTTTTTTGGCCTTTAATCTTTTTTTTTTTTTTAAATGTTTATTTCTCAAAGAAAAACGGCAACAGCCAATTGGAAACCTACTTATTCTTCAACACCAATTTTGTTTTCTTTAAATTTAGAAATGACTTACTGATTTACTATTTTAAACAAACCCCCCCCTTTCCCCTTTAAATGTTTACCATCTACTCGTGCTGAATCCTTCCAAGGAGATTGCTCCAGCGTTTATCTCCAGGTCCTCGCTTTGCTCCTTTTACCAAAAATGCAAAACACAATTCCATCGTGCATCTTAAGGGCTCCAATCGTCAAAAATAGAGAAAAAAAAAATCTTTGGAATAGCCAATTAAGTTGAATTAAAAAAAAAAAAATCCACATGAATGCGGTTTGGTTGGGGCAGGAATCCACTCCTATGTTCCTGGTAATCTGATCCCGCTCCATGAATCCTTGTAATTGATCCTCCCTATCCTATCCACATTATGATTTGAATCCAATGATCCAGCTCCAAGGATTGGGATCCAGTGAGCCCTCTCCAATCCAAACCTTTATAACCAGCAAAACCAAAAAAGAGGAGGCAAAATGTTAGATACTGTAATCAAAAAAGGATTCTGGGGAATGATGAGTTATGTCTGTCATCAGTTTAACAGATGTACATCAATAACTATCAAATTCCCCAAAACAAGTTTCTGAATGGTGTTCAGATAAATTTTAGAAACTTAATCATCAGAGACTAATTGGAAGAAGCATTTTATATTTACAGTTCAACTGATAATGCCAACACTTGTTACTGTACAGCGTATTACAGGTTTTGTGGTCGCAAAAATTATGTAGTTGAAGTTTACTGGTATTGTTACCGACCCTAAGCCTAAACTAAATCTAATGCTCCCATTTGCAATTTAATTTGTAAATTAAGGTATTTTAAACATGAGTCAATTATGAATATTAGTTTAAAGGGGAAGGCGAGACTTAGAAGTATTCCCATCTAGATTATCTACACCAATACGTTGAAATTCTATAATTTGCTTTCATTTTGTCTTAAAAAAATGAAATAGCAACGCTATATCAGTCACACAGAGGACATGCAGATTTAGCAGTTTTGATATTATACTCTATCTGGTTGGAATTAAAGACACCCTGTACCCACATGTACACCAACAGCAGGTCACACATTAACAGTTGTAACTAAGCACTGTGACAAATTAGCCAGCTCTTCCCACATTAGTCCCTATTAAAACAAAAGAGGGGGGGGAAGGGAGCAAAATAAATTGTTACAAAATGGGCGCTGTAATTTTGCCACAATTGCCAAGGTTTAAAGAGCAAAGCAATTGTAGCTAAGGTAACTGCATAAGATGTTTGCAAGTGTTTTAAGATAGGTGCATATAATAATCTTTAACCCTTGCTTTTTTAGTATAAGGTCAATACTGCCAATTTCATCTGTGACAATAGCACTTGGAGTCATACCATTGCCTCCATTATTGATCTGATCCTCCTCAATCCTCCTTTTGACAATCCTAAAATGATTGAAATGTGCTCCACAATCCTTAATCCAAAGCATTCTTAATCCATCTCTTCAGATATGTCTACAGAAAGACACATGAAAAGCAAGATAAACATAAGAACTTCCCCAGGTAAGATAGCCACAAACACCCCCAACATCCCAGTTCACACAAACCAGAGCAGAATAGACATTTACACAATATCACAGTCTGAAGAGCATGGAGAATTAACTAAATTTAAACAATCCTGTCTATGACATCACTTAAAATACAATTTACCAGACATGAGGGGAATGTAGATGTTAGGAGCAAGGGGATATTACACAAGAATGCAATTCAACACTTTAGCCCATTCTGAACAAAACAGTTTGAATTAAAAAATGAAAAGATTGTACTGAGTAAAGGAAAACTGTATACAACATGGGTTCTACAAAAAGTGTCACCAATCATCTTATGTACGAGAGCGAGATCTGCTATGACGGGGAGAATAGCGTGGTGATCCTCTGCTTCTCCTTGGGGAGTAACTGCGACTCCTGCTGTTGCTTCTGCTACGGCTTCTGCTACGACTACGGCTTCGAGATCGAGATCTTCCATAACTTGGACTTCTGGGCCCATCAACTTTAACCCGGATGTAGGCAGTTTCTCCCTCATGAGATCTAAACTTAGTGTTATCCAGTTTTCGAACTGCATAGGTCATATCTTCTTTCCGTACAAACTCCACGACACCAGTGCCATCTCGGTAAACATCAGCATAACATACATCACCTGCTTCACGCATGTGATCCTTCAAATCCTGCCAGCTTCCACTTGGAGGCAGTCCAGAGACAACCACTCTGTTTTCAGATCGCCTGGAAGGGGGGCCATAGCGGCCTCGGGGAGCTCCGCCACCTCCACCCCCGCCGCCGCCTCGGCCTGGACCACGGCCGCTTCGAGGAAACTCCACCCGCAGACGGTATCCATCGCAATCATAGCCGTCGCGACCGTACACCGCGTCTTCCGCATCTCGCGGGTCCTCGAACTCAACGAAGGCGAAGGGCGGTCCTCCGCGGCGATTCTTGAGATCGATGTCGCGGAGAGCACCGTATTTGTAGAACACGTCCTCAATGTCCTTGGTTCGGATATCTGGAGGTAAGTTACCCACGTAGATGCGACAATCGTTGTTCCCTGCCGGGCCACGAATCACGCCACCTCCCGACATGGCGACGAGGAAAAGCGCGGACTCTAGAACAGGCCTTCCCACCAAGCCTAGCGCAAGGGAGAGCGAACCGGCAGCGACACCACGTCTCCCCTAATCTTTTAAGTGTCATTTTTGATAGAACATGCATCTATAATATATATACATATATTATGCAGTTTACTTTATCTATATTTCTTTTTTTAGCATTTTTTATTGATGATCTTAGAAGTACCTCCACCATACCAAAATATCAGTAATTATTGGCATATATTTACTTCTTTTTCCTAATGTTTCATTTTAAATAAAAATTCTATTTCATGACTAATCTATTCTTTTTCCCTTTGGTGGGATGTTCCCTTTATCATTTTCTCAATTCTTAAATATCTTTGAGATTTTTTTCTGTACTTATTTAGTCTGTTCCATTGATATGTTTGCAAATTCTTCTGCCATAAAGCGCTTAATTATTGGAACTTTAGAATACACTTTAAAATTTGGCAAAACAGTTTCCTGTGTGTTTTAAAAATGTTTTCAAAATTTCTTACTTTTTAAATTTTTAGATAAAGTATAGAATTATTTTGTAAATATTTGTTTCATTTAAAAATTTCACTAGTATATTGGTAAACTGCACTTTTGTTTACAGTTATGTATATATGTATGTCTGTTTATGCAACACTAGCAACTTTGCAATATACTTGCAATTTTTCTTTACTTATTAAAATATTACTTTATATACTTCACTAAACTTTCCTGTTGGTTGCACCTGCATTGTAATAGTTATTTGTGGTCATTTTATATTGTAAAAACCTATTATAAAGTCATTTTCATATTCCTTTTTAATAATTATTGCTGGTGTTTATTTACCTTGTACCCGACAATCTTATTGATTTAAATAGTTTTTTCCTAAGTCATCATGTGTTGTCATAGTTTCTAACCATATTGTCTGTAAATAACATAATGCTGCACTTTTCTTTCTTTGAGTCCTTCTGGTTCTCATTCTTCATGCTATTGCACCAGCCACAACTTCCCGATCAGAGTTCACTAGTACTACTGGTAGTGGCTTCTTTTTATGGACTTCATTTCAAAGGTAATGAAGCTACATATTGATGAAGTAAGTATTATTTTGGCTTAAAGTTGGCTTTTACCATTCAAGAATATAGTAGTCTCTCCTTGTCCATGGTTTTGACATCTGTGTTTCAGTTGTTGTGGTAAAAAGTGCTCCAACAATATTAAGTTGAAGATTCCAGAAATAAACTATTCATAAATTTTAAATTGCACATTGTTCTGAGTAATGCCATCTCACTCTGTCCACCTGGGATATGAATCATTCCATTTGTCCAGCATATGCACATTGTATACACTGCCCACCTATTAGCCACTTAGCTAACATCTGAGTTATCAAACTGCTTCAGTAACACAGTTTTTGTGTTCAAGTAACTCTTATTTTACTTAATAATGACCCCAAAGTGCAAGAGTACTGATGTTGACAATTTGGGTATGCCAAAGAGAAGCTATAAAGTGCTTCCTTTAAGTGAAAAGTTATGTATGTATAAGAAAACCATAGTATATAGTATTGGGCAAAAGTAGGTTTACAATTGTGAGTATGCAAAATGCATCTTATTTGTGTATTATTATTTATTAATTATTGTATCATTTTCCATACAAACAACCGTAAACCTACTTTTGCCATCTCTGTATATAGGATTTGGTACTATTCACAGTTTCAGGCATCCACGAAGGGTCTTGGGATGCTTCCCCCACAGACAAGGGGGAACTACTCTATATCATTCAATTTTTTGAATTATAAGAAAGTCGTCTTTGTTTTCAGTTTTATCAAATGTCTTTTCAGTCTCTGTTAACGCCATAATTTTATAATACATCTCATAGGGATATTAGTAGACTTTTTAATATTCAATCTTCCTTGAATTCCTCGGATAAAATCAATCAAAGTAGAGGTTATTTTATTATACCATCACATTTGATTTATTAATATTTCTACTAGGACTAGCTACATAATTTTCAAGGTCCACTGTAAAGTAAAAATGTGTGTGGGGGTTCTTGTTGAGAAACTAAGAATTTCATATGGTGGCAGAATTAAACCATGCAGTGTCCTGAACCCTGAGTCTTATGTTGTGGCACTGGTTGCATGCCCAGGCATCTGACCCCGATTTTTGCTTTTATATTTATACAAGAAGTTGAAACTGGCATATGGTTGTGTTTTTTTTGTGCTCTTTAGGTCAGGTTTTGATATTTGATAAGATTTGCGTTCAGTTTTCTTCAAATAGAGCTTCTTCTATTTGTTCCTTGAAAATGGTAGGGAACACATAGATCTGGTCATTTGGCTATGGGGTATTGAGAAGTTATTTCTAATATTAAGAAAAAATTTCAACATGAATATTGTTTTTCTTAGATTTCCTAATTTTATAAAGCCTATTTTAAAAATTTGCTTTTTTTAAGAAAATTGATCAATTTTATCTGGACGCTTATAAATTTCAATATGAAGTTTTGTGGTAATTTTTATAATTTCCTCAACTTTGTTACATCTCATTTCACATAACTAATTATATTTATCTTCCTCTTTTCTTGATCATAGTTATCAGAGATTTCCTTATTTCACAGTGATTTTTACCCACTCCTTCCCCCTTGCCACACACACACAGCCAATCTCAGGAAGATTTATTAATTACTTCCTCATAGGATGGGGGTCTTGTCTGCCTATTTGTTTTGTTTGCTATAATACTTTCTGCTTTTACCTCTATTGTTGCTGTCTACCTGTAACTTCTCATGCTCTCAACCAGTCTTCATTATATACAGGGTATGTCTAGAAAGTATCCAGCCATATACTATGAAAAATAGAGACATTTATTGGAGAAGGTACAAGACACAAGAAACATTGTACATAGGAAAATGATGACTCCATCCCCTTCAAAGTAGGCACTTTGGGACCTCACACAGTTCTTCTAATCACTATTAGCTGCCCCATTGTATTTTCCTAAATCTCATCGAAGGTCTGAAATCTCTTCCTTTTCAAAGGTGATTTTAGTTTTGGGAAAAGCCAGAGGTTGCACAGTGCCAAGTATTGGCTGTGGGGGGGCTGCGTCACCTGGTGATTTGATGTTTTGCCAAAAAACTGCATGAGATATGGTGCATGAATGGTTGCGCTGTAGTGATGAAGCTGCCAATCACCAGTTGCCCATAGCTGGGACCTTTTGAATCATCTGAATAGTTTCATGGGGGGTTGTTCACAATGCAAAATTTGATGTAGATTCATTACTCTACTTGCTCAGTCATTTTGAATGTGATGGCCACACAGTTCACATGCTCACTCAGCAGAATCTACTGCCCCCACTGACTAGTACAGTGAAATCATCATTGTTCATCCATGCACATTCCAGTCCACTCCCCTTGGCTTCCAGGTTACATCGATGTTGCACAAATTTTTCTCATTATATTAATAATGGTTGAACTTTTTCCAGACAGACATGTGTGTGTGTGCATGTGTGTGTATGTGTATGTGTGTGTAAAATGAAGGCATTTAAGATTATAAACTTGTTTCTCCTTCTACTTTGGGCCACATTCCATGTTCTTTGAAGTACAGTGTTTTTGTTCTTGTTGATTTTCCCCCCAAGAATTTGTAATTGTAAATGTGACCTTTTTGATTCGAGTTAGTAAAGAGCTCTCCTTTCTTTTTATTTCCATGGGGCTAAATTTTATTTGTGCATTTAAACTTTGTTATCAACTTCTAATTTTGTTGTACTTTGTTTTAGACTGCTATATCTATAATTTCTACTTTTCAAGGTTTTTGTGTCTTCTTTAAGTGTTCCAGGATGCTTGATTAGTGGGGGTTCTCTGTAGGGCATAGTCTAAAATTCTACCCATAATACAACCTTATTAATTATAATTCTCACTTCTATGGCCTTTATTTTTAACTACTTGGTTTGTTGAAGGTTAAAAGATGTATGTTAAAAGTCTATAGCAAAGGTTTTCCAGTCAGTCCTTTATTTCCATATTTTTTTTCAGTGCTTTATATCTGCTGTGCTGTGTTATTCTGAAGGTAATATTTCACTGAATGTTAAATATTTACTCTGGTTTCTTTTGTGAGCTTTACCATTCCCTTCTAAAGAGGCTTTTTCTAAGGTATGCAATCTTCTCTTTTTTTCAGAATACTCCTCAGTTATGATCCATTAATTTGTCCCTGGTTTAGTTCTTAAGTTGTCCATCTGCCCTTATTTCTTACAGGTCCTGTGAGCAGGGCCTGACTGACACTTCACCCCCTTCTCCCTGTGTCCTGGCACATGCAATACACTCAATAAATATGTAGTCAAGGAGTGGATAACAAATGACTCTTTGACATGTTAAATCGTTTTTTTACCTCAAATTTTATTTTACCTAGAAATAATCTGATCAGTCCTGTTCTTTCTTTTCTCTCTCTCCCCCATTCCAGGTAGAAGAGTGGGTTCATCTGGTACCCCTTACTCTTGTTACTGCAGCTGTCCCCTGGAAAAGAGCCCCATTTTCTACCCCCATTTGATCCTACTGGTCTATTGGCTTTCCACTGTGTATCCCTGTATGCAGAAGGCCATAGCACAAAGAGTGTGGGACTTGGCATAGTGATCAGATCATGAACGAAGCTTGGCCAGCTGAGCATCCTTGAGGGCACTGTTTAACTCTCTGAATCTCAGCAGAATTTCTCATCTGCTGTGAGGATAAGTAAGATAATGTGTATAAGACACTGCCCTTGAACAAAATTGGCACTCCTTTTGCCACCTTCCAGTGACATTTTTTAGGGAAAAATAATAAAGATGTCACCTGCCAGAAGGTTGCTAACAGACCCAGAAGGTGGATCTGTTGTCTGATGGATGTGATAGTGCTGCTTGTGGGCCTGGAGGGAGGGATAGGAGTGTGGTGCTAGCATCCAGGAGTGACCGATACTGGAGAACCATGAGGCATGAGCGCATTAGCCTATAAAGCATCTGCCCTCCACATGGGGGGCAAAGCAGTAGCTATCTGCAGTTTATCATTGGGAATGTGGTTAAGAGGTTCATCCAGTGCCAGTGTTTCCGTGGGGAGCTGCAGTTACTATCTTCCATAATACAGGGCCATACTTTG